AGAATTTGTAATTTATAACCTCCTCATACAAGACAGCTTTAGGTCCAGGGTATTTCCAATTTTACACAAACTTTTTGAGAAAACAGAAAATTAAGAATACTTTTCAAATAACTTTATCACTTTCTTCTTTAATTTCAATAAATGATATCTCACTGTGGTTTTAACTTTGAGTTATTTAGTGGATAATGTTGAAGTATCACTAGACATGTATTAGAAGAACTAAACAATTTAAAGAAACTAGAACTAATACCAAATGCTTGTGCAACTTCAAGGAAATTCAATAAATAGCATACTACTTTTTAGGATGTAAGATGCTATAGTCATTCTGAAAATTGTTATGCAAATTTTAAAAAATAAAACTAAACATGCAATTACACTAAGACCCAGTAATCTTGGGTATTTACCCCAGAAAAAAATAAAAGTTTATGATCCCCAAAACATATATACATGAATTTTACAATAGTTTTATTTTTAATAACTCTGTACTGGAAACAATCAAACTGTTTCTCAAGAGGAAAATGCTTAATCTGTGATGTATCCATGAAATACTATTAGCAATGAAGAGAATAAATTATTGATCTATGAAAAACACAAAAATGTGGCTTTACATCAAAGGGCATTTTGCTGAGTAAAAAGCAACTATCAAAAAGTCACCTACTGTATGATTCTATTTATATAACATTTTCAAAATAACAAATGTATTAAGATGGAGAATAGTCTAGGGATTGATATGGTTTAGGGATGGTGATGGGGGAGGTAGATAAGTGTGACTATAAAAGGGTAGCACAATGAAAGTCCGTGCTGTGATGAAATAATTATTCTGTAATATTTACTATGGTAGTGGTTACATAAACCTACACACGCACTCTTTGCACCAAAGTTTATTTCCTGCTTTTGATATTGTATTATATTTATGTAAGATGTAATAATTGGTGGGAATTGTTACAGGTCTGGCAAGAATATTGAAGCTGGTCACCATTTAAGGCAAGCCCTGCCATCTAGTTGCTGGAGGCTCTTCTACCTTCCTTGAATTTATTTTTTTCATCCTTTTATAATGCCCTCTTCATATCCTTGCTTAGCTTCAACAGCCTCTAACAACTGTTACTTTTGTACTTTAATCCCTTATTGGTGGGGCAATAAATTTTGTTCTTTGATCTCTTGACTGGCCTCTTGAGTAAGCTCTGACAAATGTATTGTCTGTCAGGACAATATTAGGTTGCATAAAAACCCCTATCACTACCAAATTAAAGAACCTGATGTGGGAGATTTCAATCTTTTTGTGTGCCTAATTAGATGGCTTTATCACATTTTAACGATAAGGTGGAACAAATAGAAAACATCTTCATCAAGATCAGCCATGACTGAATAGAGAAAAAAGTAGTTTTGGTGTCTGATTACTGAAGGCAGAGGAAATAAGTTTTTAAACCTGACAATTATCCCAGTATAGTGAGCTGTATTACTGTTTGAGTCTTGCAAATAATCTTTGAGAGGGAAAAATGGAATATTACAAGGTTGTGGTATCATAAGGGTATGCAGTCAAGGGGAATCCACCTTGGAATTGCCCCCCTCTTTATGAGTATATTTGTCCATTTCATGCTGCAGATAAAGACATACCTGAGACTGGGAAGAAAAGGAGGTTTAATAGACTTACAGCCCACATGGCTGGGGAGGCCTCACAGTCATGGCAGAAGGCAATGACAAGCAAGTCACATCTTACATGGATGGTGGTAGAGAAAAAGAGAGCTCATGCAGGAAAACTCACATTTTAAAACCATCAGATCTCATGACACTTATTCACTCTCATGAGAACAGCATGGGGGAGACATGCCACATGATTCAGCTATCTCCTACTGGTCCCTCCAATAACATGGGAATTATGGGAGCTACAAGATGAGATTTGAGTGAATACACAGAGCCAAACCATATCATTCCATGCCTGGCCCCTCTCAAATCTCATGTCTTCATATTTCAAAACCAACCATGCCTTCCCAACAGTCCCCCAAAGTCTTAAACCATTTCAGCATTAACTCAAAAGTTCACAGTCCAAAGTCTCATCTGAGACAAGGAACTCCCTTCCACCTATGAGCCTGTAAAATCAAAAGCATGTTAATTACTTCCTAGAGACATTAGGTAAATATAACCTTTCCAAATGGGAGACATTGGCCAAAACAAAGGGATTACAGGATTTATGCAATTCCAAAATCTAGCCAGGCAGTCAAATCTTAGAACTCCAAAATGATCTCCTTTGACTTCATGTCTCACATGGATGCAAGAGGTGAGTTTCAATGGTCTTGGGCAACTCTGTTCTTGTGGCTTTGCAGGATACAACCTCCCTCCCTGCTGGCTCCCTTCCCAGGATGGCATTGAGTGTCTGCAGCTTTTTCAGGTGCATGTTGAATGCTGTCAGTAGGTCTACCATTCTGGGGTCTGGAGGACAATGGCCCTCTTCTCACAGCTTCACTAGGTGGCTCCCCAGTAGGGACTCTGTGTGGGGCATTGACCCCACATTTCCCTTCCACACTGCCATAGCAGAGTTTCTCCATATGGGCACAGTGCCTGCAGCAAATTTGTACGTGGGCATCTAGGCATTTCCATACATCCTCTGAAATCTAGGCAGAGGTTCACAAACTCCAATTCTTGACTTCTGTGCACTTTGAGACTCAACATCATGTGGAAGCTGCCAAGGCTTAGGACTTCAACCCTCTGAAGCAGCAGTCCAAGCTGTACCTTGATTTCTTTTAATCATGGCTGGAGAAGCTTGGACACAGGGAACCAAGTCCCTAGACTGCACACAGCATGAGGACTCTGGGCCTGGCCCATGAAAGCACTTTTTCCTCCTGAGCTTCTATGCCTGTGATGGGCTGCTGTGAACACTTCTGATGTAACCTGGAGATATTTTCCCTATTGTCTTAATGAGTAACATTCTGCTCCTTGTTACTTATGCAGATTTATGCAGCCAACTTGAATTTATTTTCAGAAAACTGGATTTTGTTTTCTATTGCATTGTCAGGTAGTAAATTTTCCCAATACTTATACTCTGCATCCCTTATGAAACTGAATGCCTTTAACAGCATCCAAGTCACATCTTGAATGTTTTGCTGCTTAGAAATTTCTTATGCCAGATACCCTAAATCATTTCTCTGAAATTCAAAGTTCCACAAATCTCTAGGGCAGGGGAAAATGCCATCAGTCTCTTTGCCAAAACATAACAAGAGTCGCTTTTGCTCCAGTTCCCAACAAGTTTCTCATTTCCATCTGAGCCCACTTCAACCTGGACTTCATTGTCCATATTACTATCAGCATTTTGGGTAAAGACATTCAACAAGGCTCTAGGGAGTTCTAAACTTTCACACATTTTCTATCTTCTTCTGAGCCCTCCAAACTGTTCCAACCTTTGCCTGTTACCCAGCGCTAAAGTTGCTTTTACATTTTCAGGTATCTTTTCAGCAGCACCCCGCTCTACTGGTACAAGTTTACTGTATTAATCAGTTTTCACACTGTCGATGAAGACACATCTGAGACTGGGAAGAAAAAGAGGTTTAATGGACTTACAGTTCCACATGGCTGGGGAGGCCTCACAATCATGGCAGAGGGCAAGAAGGAGCAAGTCACTTCTTACATGGATTATGGCAGGCAAAAAGAGAGAGCTTGTGCAGGGAAACTCCCATTTTTTAAACCCTCAGATATTGTGAGACTGACTCACTATCACAAAAACAGCATGGGAAAACCTGCCATCATGATTCAATTATCTCTCACTGAATTCCTCCCACAATATGTGGAAACTATGGGAGCTACAAGATGAGAGTTGGGTGGGGACAGGGAGCCAAACCATATCAATGGGGCATCAAGTCTGCAAGAGTAAACTGCCAAAACCTCGTCTGAAGGGAAAGTTTCCTAGCTTAGATTATGAGGATCAATTTATACATTTGACCACTGACTGGTCCCTAACTCAAGAATAGAGGAAACAAATAAAGATACTGTTAGCTGGTCACGGAGCTATGTTTGACATCATAAACGCCTGGATCTAGGGAAGCACATGAGAGAGCAGGGGATATTCATACTAGAGTCTTGATGCTCTAGCCCTTTGGAGATGATTATGGATGGGACATTTAAATCATGTACTAGCATCTTGCTCAAGAAAAAAGAGAATGAGTTAGAGTCACACCCAGTGGCTAGTCTTTCTTTTGTTCACATGGCGTAAGACAGTCCAATAACAACCACCAGGATAGGAAACCAGAAGTCTATCATTGCCAACTCTCCTTTAGGATATATTCACCATAATTGCCAAGAAACTCATCTTTTTCTGCAACACAGCTTGGCCCAGAACAATACTATCTTGTAATTAGACCTTTTTATTTAAGGAAAAGAAGATGGTTGGAAATTCCCCCAAGGTCTCAGGGAAACCAGACATTATTCCTCCCCCAATGAAATGGCTCTATATTAAGATAATTCTCTTTAAGACCAATGTTGAATATGTTATGCCCATGTTTATAAAAAGGGTGTGGGGAACCTAACATAGTGACTCTGTATTAGGAAATGTGCCTCCCACCAACAGCTATTCTTTCTTAAAATCTAGCTCAAGGATTATCTCTAAAATCTCTTATGCTTATGCTTCTCCTAGTGATCTTGCCCCGTCAGATTTACAGTCTTCTACTACACCCCCTCTGACACGGTTTGGCTGTGTCCTCACTCAAATCTCAACTTGAATTGTATCTCCTGGAATTCCCCTGTGTTGTGGAGAGACTCAGGGGGAAGCAATTAAATCATGGGGGTCCGTCTTTCCCATGCTATTCTTGTGATAGTAAATAAGTCTTACAAGATCTGATGGGTTTATCAGGGGTTTCTTCTTTGGCTTCTTCCTCATTTTCTCTTGTCACTGCCATATAAGAAGTGCCTTTCACCTCCCGCCATTATTTTGAAGCCTCCCCAGTCTTGTATTACTGTAAGTCCAATTAAATTTGTTTTACTTCCCGGTCTCTGGTATGTCTTTATCAGCAGCATGAAAACTGGCTAATATAGTAAATTGGTATCAGTAGAGTGGGGCATTGCTGGAAAGATGCCCAAATATTGGGAAGCAACTTTGAAACTGTATAATAAGCAGAGATTGAAACAGTTTAGAGGGCTCAAAAGACGACAAGAAAATGTGCAAAAGCTTGGAAAGTCCTAGAGACTTATTGAACACTTTTGCTCAAAATTCTGATAGCAATAGGGACAATAAAATCCAGGCTGAAGTGGTCTCAGATAGAGATGAGAAACTTGTTGGGAACTGGAGCAGAGGTGACTCTTGTTATATTTTAGCAAACAGAATGAGAGCATTTTGCCCTTGCCCTAGAGATTTGTGGAACATTGAACTTGAGAGAAATGACTTGGGTATCTGGCAGAAGAAATTTCTAAGTAGTAAAGCATTCAAGATGTGACTTGGGTGCTGTTAAAGGCATTCAGTTTCGTAAGGGAAGCCTGACTATAAAATAGAAAAGAAGACCCGATTTTCGGGAGAAATTCAAGCTGGCTGCAGAAATTTGCTTAAGTATCAACGGGCCTAATGTTAATAGCAAAGACCACGGGAAAAATGTCTTCAGGCCATGTCAGAGACCTTCACAGCAGAACCTCGTATCACAGGCAATGGAGGTCAAGGAGGGAAAACGTGGTTACTTGGGCCTGGCCCAGGGTCCCTGTGCTGTGTGCAGCCTAGGGACTTGGCGCCCTGTGTCCCAGCTGCTCCAGGCTTGGCTTAAAGGGGCCAAAATACAGCTCAGGCTGTGGCCTCAGAAGGTGAAAGCCCTAAGCCTTGGCAGATTCCACATGTTGTTGAGCCTGTGGGTATACAGAAATCAATAATTGAGGTTTGGAAGCCTCCACCTAGACTTCAGAAGATGTACAGAAATTCCTGGATGCCCAGGTAGAAGGTTGCTGCATGGCAGGCTCTCATGGAGAACTTCTGCTTGGGCAGTGTGGAAGGGAAATGTGGGGTTAGAGCCCTCACACAGAGTCCCTACTTGGGCACCATCTAGTGGAGTTGTGAGAAGGCCACCATCCTCCAGATCCCAGTATATTAGATCTACTTACAGCTTGTACCATGTGTCTGTGTCTGGTAAAGCCACAGACAATGTCAGCCTGTTACAGCAGCCAGGAAGGGGGCTATAACCTGCAAAACCACAGGGGCAGAGCTGTCCGAGACTATGGGAACCTGCCTCTTTCATAAGTGTGACCTAGATGTGAGACTTGGAGTCAAAAGAGATCATTTTGAAGCTTTAAAATTTGACTGTCCCACTGTATTCCAGATTTCATGGGCCCTGTAACCCTTTTGTTCTGGTAAATCCCATTTAGAATGGCTGTATTTACCCAATACCTGTACCTCCATTGTATTTAGGAAGTAGCCAGCTTGCTTTTGATTTTACAGGCTCATATGTAGAAGGGTGTTGCCTCAGATAAGACTTTGGACTGTGGACTTTTGGGTTAATGCTGAAATTAGTTAAGACTTAAGACTTTGGGGAGCTGTTGGGAAGGCATAATTGGTTTTGAAATGTGAGGACATGAGATTTGGAGGGGCCAGGGGCAAAATAATATGGTTTGGCTGTGTTGCCACCCAAATCTCAACTTGAATTTTGTCTCCCAGAATTCTCTTGTGTTGCAGGAGGAAACCAGCAGAGGTAATTGAATCATTGGGGATAGTCTTTCCCATGTTATTCTTGTGAGATCTGATCAATTTATCAGAGGTTTCCACTTTTGCTTCTTCTTCATTTTTCTTTCCACCACCATGTAAGAAGTGCCTTTTTCCTCCTGCCATGAGTCTGAGGCCTCTCCAGCCATGTGGAACTTTAGGTCCAATTAAACCTCTTCTTCCTGCCAGTCTCAGATATGTCTTTATGAGCACCATGAAAACAGACTAATTCAGCCTCCATATCAACCTATACTTCACTTCATAAGGAGCACAATCTTATTGGGACAATTTGAAGTGGAGCATGGTACCACCCACCTGAAATGAAAAACAGACTACTTCTCCTCAGGGAAGTAGCAAATGAAGAGTTGAGATCATTTGAATCCATGTCTCTTTCACATTTCAAATTTATCCCAATGCAAACAAAGGTGAGGACAATTCTCTGAGGACCACCCCCCCAAGGTATATGGAGGAATTAAAGGACTTGTCTTTTAAGGTAACCTAGGGTAACATAGACATGGTCTTATAAAATTACAAACATTGGCCATGGGTCCCCATATCCCCATGCATAACCTACTAAATATGGCTTTTGTGGTCTTCAATAACTGAGACAGGGCAAAAGAGGCACATAGGAATCAAGGTGACTCAGAGAGAGACTAAAGACAGGGCCAATTTTTGGCCATTGCTATGGGGGAAATACTCCCACCTCCAGCTAATCCTAGGAGAAACCCCAAAGGCTCTGCTGTACCTGTAGAAAATCAAAACACTGGAGCCTGGAATGCCAAGTGCGTAAAGGGCCCACAGGCTTGCAATCCCTCTGGGTCCTGTCAATGTGGCAAAAAGCGGGGGAGGCAATGGAGAAAGGTCTATCCTCAACTTTGAAGGGAGGATGGGACTCCTAATGCCTTACTGCCCCTGGCAAAAGACTGAAGGGGTCCAAGGAAGACAATGACTCTGATGAGGCAATCAGTCTCAATTGTAGCAACAGAGGCTTGGATAACCCTGGATATGGCAGGTAAATACATTCATTTCCTGTGGATACAGGGTCTGGACTGTAAGTTCTCACTTTCTGTCCTGAACCCCTATCTGCCAAATGCTGCAGTATCATTGGTGTTGGCAAACTCCAGACCACAATTTTTCATTCTACTCCTAAATTGTAAATTTAGGGCTAGTACAAAAAGCATTTTAAGGGTATGGGAACCAATAATGTTTAATGAGGTAGAAAGAGACTTTCATCAAACTCTGAGGGTGAAATACTCCCTCAGTATAAATTCAGAATACATCATCTATCAAGCAAAAATAAAAAAAACAAAAAAAGCATGGTAGGTCTTAAGACATAGAAGAATTACTCAAGTAATCAATTGCAACCTAATTAAGTAGTGCATCTCAGGTGCTCCTGAGTACAACAGCAGAAAAAACTTAGAGAAATGAGAACTCAGGTGTGCTTATCAAGAACAAAGAAATTGTTTTATTTGAGTCTTCACAGAAACCCTTGAGGCAGACTCCAAGCTATTTACAAGAAGCACTGGAGGATTTAAATATTCTGTTCAAGAAATAAACAGGCAACCAGGACCCAAAGCATCAGAAAGTTAAACAGCCTTCTTTGTTCTTTATCTTTGAATCTTTTATTTTGGTACAATTATGTTACACTTTGTTTTGCTCATAATTTTTCCCACAAGAGAAGGGGGTGGAGTAAGCCTACCCAGATGGGAAAGAAACACTTTGCTCAATATATGGTATTGCTACTAATCTTTGGGACTTACTTGTTTAACTCCCTTGTAAGCTTTGTGTCTTTTAGGTTGCAACAGTTTCACATCTAAATGACAGTCATGCGGGAATTCCAGCCTGTCTATTGGAGGATATGACCAATAATGCTTAAATGAGGTAGAAAGAGACTTTCAGACCTTGGCTCAGCAGGGATATTGCTGCCTCTCAGCATGAAGCAGCTCTAGAAGAAATGATCTAGTCCCTCAACAACCCATAGGAATATGGACCCAAAGACTCTGAAAGAGAAAATAAAGTAGATTAGATAGGGTGGCGATAACCTTCCTAGACAGGAAACAGAAGAACTTGTTAAATTGATAGAAAGAACAAACTATCCAACAGTGCACTGATCACATCCCGAGCTCACGGTTAAAACATACTGCAGAGTAAGGTGATAGGTAGGGGTCCAGTTTCTGCTTTCTGCACATTGCTAGCCAGTTTTCCCAGCACCATTTATTAAACATGGAGTCCTTTCCCCATTGCTTGTTTTTCCCGGGTTTGTCAAAGATCAGATGGTTGTAGATGTGTGGGATTTCTTCTGGGGTCTCTGTTCTGTTTCATTAGTCTATGTCTCTGTTTTGGTAGCAGTACCATGTTGTTTTGATTACTGTAGCCTTGTAGTACAGTTTGAAGTCCAGCAGTGTGATGCCTCTGGCTTTGTTCTTTTTGGTTAGGATTGGCTTGGCTACGCAGAGTCTTTTGTGATTCCGTATGATGTTTAAAGTGTTTTTTTCCAGTTCTGTGAAGAAGGTCATTGGTAGCTTGATGGGGATAGCATTTAATCTATAGATTACTTTGGGCAGTATGGCCATTTTCACGATATTGATTCTTCCTAGCCATGAGCATGGAATATTTCTTTATCTGTTTGTGTCCTCTCTTATTTCATTGAGCAGTGGTTCTTCTTGAAGCGGTCCTTTAAATACTTTGTTAGTTGTATTCCTAGGTATTTTATTCTCTTTGTAGCAATTGTGAATGGGAGTTCATTCTTGACGGGAGTTCATTCTTGATTTGGCTCTCTGTTTGTCTGTTATTGGTATATAGGAATGCTTGTGATTTCTGCATATTGATTTTGTATCCTGAGACTTTGCTGAAGTTGCTTATCAGTTTGAGAAGATTTTGGGCTGAGACAATGGGGTCTTCTAGATATACAATCATGTCATCTGCAAATAGAGACAATTTGACTTCCTCCTTTCCTAATTGAATACCCTTTATTTCTTTTTCTTGCCTGATTGCTCTGGCTAGAACTTCAAATGCTATTTTGAATTGGAGTGGTGAGAGAGGACATCCTTGTCTAGTGCCTGATTTCAAAGGGAATTCTTCCAGCTTTTGCCCGTTCAGTGTGATATTGGCTGTACGTTTGTCATACATAGCTTTTATCATTTTATGATACATTCCATCAACACATAGCTTATTGAGAGTTTTTAGCATGAAGTGCTGTTGAATTTCATCAAAAGCCTTCTCTGCATCTATTGAGATAATCATGTGGTTTTTGTCTTTGGTTCCATTTATGTGATGGATTACATTTGTGGATTTGTGTATGTGTAACCAGCCTTGAATCCCCGGATGAAGCCTACTTGGTCGTGATGAA